GCACGGACTTCACTAATACTTGGGATCACAAGTTCCTACAGAATTACAAAAAACAGATTGTTATAGCGTGAGGAGAACTGAACTTCCAAGGGAAGATTCGTGCAGTGATGGTACAACGCACCTACCTGCAATACTGTCTCCTCCTCACAGAACAGAGGTGGCATCACTACCAGGGCAGCATAGCATCCACACACTGCAACACCTCTCTGTGGTTCCTGCATCTCAGGGTGGCCATACTCTAGAGGAGAGCATTTGCACTAATGAAATTTCAAGACACAAAATTTCTGCATCTTGACATTAGTTAGTACAGACAGTCTGTCTCAAAACCATGAAATTCCTTCAATATTGCTCTCTCAAAATTCAAACAACAGAGAAATCCTGAAGTGCGCCCAGACTCCAGGTGAAGGGAATCCAAGACTGGTTTTACACTTGCGCTGTACAGTCCCTCCGCAATTTTCAATTCATTACCAGCATTTTTCAACAGCAAGTTTCAACATACTAAAATAAATTGATTTTGAGAAGATTACTGAAATAAGAAAGTCATTACTTTTGAACATATAGCAAATAAAAAGTCTACACAAAAAAAGCAGTCATTTTACCATAAAGTTCTAGCAACATGGAAAACAAACCATCCAGGTTCCTTCTCTTGGATTATAACACAACCTACAACTTTAAAGGAATTAAAACATCATTATGTATAGATGGATGCATGTTGTTTCATGTGTAAATCTAAATGGTTTTGAATATCTGAAATACTGTAACACAAATCACATGCCTTTCCATAATCAAACTGAATCACTCCATGAGAACAGATCTCTCTGATGTGAGATGGCATTACTCTACAGGAGCCAGCTCCCACGCCTCCAAAGTCTCCTGAACAGCTGGGGCGCAGCTGTGAGCAGCACCAGACTCAGCTTCTCTTCCACAACTGTCTGGGTAAGGAGAAGATGAAGCACGTAAAATGCACACGTGAGAAAGCAGTTTCATCTGCATCAATCTCAGAGCGGTAAATAAAGGCAGAGAGCAGCTCCTCCGTTTTCAGAGATCTGCTGTGTGTTCACCAAGAGCACGTAGCTGCACCCTGTGTGACCTCCCACTGCTTCTTACACATTGTCTCAGGTGAAAATGTGCCAAACTAAATATTAAAAACAGCGTTTCAGTCCACCACTTCCCCGACATAATCATCCGTGAATCTTCTGTACCAAGCGTTTAAAATTACATCCAGACAAAGTAATATCAAAATATATTTTATTCTGGACCTCTTTCAGATCTGATTCAAATTACAGTTGTCAAAGCAATACAATGCAAAGGGAAACTGCAACAGAAAATGTGCCTAGAAGGGATATAAGGGCCTTGGGGACAAATCATTGTGATGTAGAACCAAAATACATCATAAAGTGTAATTAACATGGTCCAGGACAGTATAGAACATCTATATCAGTCTTCTTTAGACAATAATCATGAAAACTGAACAATAAAAGTCCTTTAAACAAGTACAAAAAACTGTCATGGGCTGGTTTACACTTTTACAACAGTTGTAATTTAACTGGATAACTGAAGAAATGATGCAGACATTTTAATCCAGTGCTATAGGTAGGCTCACAGAATTAGACCCAAAGGATTTGTAACTCCAAATGAAACCATTACAACTACAATGTCAATGTCAGGAGAGAGAGAAAATTACTTCTGTATTCTAGAATTACTGTTCTGCACACTGCAGTCTGTTGAGGACAAGATTGCAAAGTACACTGGACTAGCAACAACATGCAGACTGTTTTCTTGTATTTACCCACAAATGTCAAAAAACATTATGAAGTAAAAATGAATGATTATTTAAAAAAAGAAAACAAAACAAAAACATGCCTCAAGTCATTGTCAAGCTTCAAACTTAAAGGCAGAGAAAGCGAATTATGTACTCGAAACTACTGATCTGAAGCACTATTAACACTAAATCTGCAATCTGCGAGAAACGGCAGATTTTCCTGGTTCGTCTGCCTTCCATCAGACTGACAGTGAAGACAGTCAGGCTTTCACAGAACGTGGTATTTCAGAGCTTTCTCTAGAGGGAGAAGTGAAGACTGCTCCACAGCTCTCTCCCTACGGAAAATGTCAGGGATCTTGATGGAGATTTACTGCTGTCTCCCGAAGCCATATTTGCTTCTAACATGCCACAATGTTGCTTCTGCTTTCTTCAGACTTCTGGAGAGTGTGGAACTGATCCCCCTGGGGAACAGCTCTACAGGACTTTGTGAAAGGAGAAGCCATCAAGCTTGTCAACGAAAAAGGAACACTGGGCTAAATCTGGCAGGCCCTGCTCTGGCAAAAATCCCCACCGAAGCCAAGGGGAGTCTTGGCTCGAGTGAGACGTGGCTCGTTTTACCTACAGATCCAACGCCTCCAATGCTTACTCTGGCAAGGTTTGCTCATGAAGTGAAATACAATGGGATTTCTGGTTAAGTAAAGATTGGAAAAAAAATTGGGTCCCAAGGCTCCTCTTCACTAAACAGACAAAAAACATAAAACCTTTTATTTACAAGCTGAAAAAAACCCCCCAGTTTGCGATTTTAATGAAACTCCTTCATTCAGCAGAACTAAACACATCAGCTGCTGAGACTGCTCCGTAGGCAAACTGGCACAACCGCTCTATGCCACCTATTTGTTCTTCCTAAACACAAAGAACGTTTCAAAGGTACAATGTCTCATTAAATACCCTAGCATGAGGTAAGCAGTGTAAGGAAAAAGGAGTGCTTTTTAAATGAAAATTAATTAAAATTGGTAGAAATCTTTGGCCTTTCTCTCAAGATGCATTAAAGTGTCATGAAATCAAGAAACATGCTTCAAAATGCCATGTCATTCTGACTCTGGTAACTATTACCTCCCTCCACCCAACCCAGAAAAAGAGGCACTTTTAGTGTTTCATATAAGATTTCCAATCATCTAGTAGACACGCTAAGTAACCCTGCACAATTGTAGTCCCAGAATAAACTGAGTTTATCAACATTACAAAGAGACTAAAAAAAAAAAAAAACAAAACCTTTTATGAGGACCTAGATATTCTCTTAACTACACTAAAAACTCCACTGGTTGGGAATCTTTACATCAATTTAAAAATGCAGAAAAAGGTAAAGTAAAAATAGAAAAAGAGGAACTCTACAGAAACCTGGACCTAATTATGCAGAAATGAGAAATGGGATTCTGAGATGGATGCACAGAAAGACAGCAAACTCAAGAGCAGTTCATTTCTTATTCCATCATTAATTCTGAGCCCAGTTTTTCCCCTTCCTTTTATCCTCTCTTTGGATATCTGCCCCTTAACGTGTTGAACTGGAAAGAACAGGAACTGTAACATATGCAAAGGCCTGTGCACACGTTTGCCTTCACACTTGGAAAACGGGTGCAACAGAATTCCCCAGTACGTGGGACTAAGCATGTGCATACGCTCAGGCAAAGTCAGGGTCTCTCTGACATTTGGCATACTCAGTTTAAAGGAACAATTTGGATAGTCTACCTCACTATTGAATACGAGGTCTTTGTGCTATAAAAGATAATAATTAATGTCATGGTTCTCTTTTTTTTTTCCTTTTTGCTTCACATAATCACAGACCCTAGCACACCTTGCATGCATGCATTTAACAGTGTATAACACAAGAGGCGAGAAGAGGTGTGAGCAGGAGCAGCACTGTGGCATGCTAGTGAAGGACAACAATAAAATATTGGCCAGATCCTTTGCTAGTGGAAACTGGCATCATTCCACTACAGGGGGGCACTGCTGATCAACACTAGGTTGGGGGTCTCAGCCTGTGTGTCCAGAGCACTCAACAGATCTGACGTTCCCGCTGGACTGTGCTTCAAGCACCTGAAAACCCTGGACCCGTGATAATGAAGCTCTGTTTTATCTATTTCTGAATATGTGATACTATGCTTAAGCAACTAGAATTACAACCAAAACAGCTGATGATTGAGAAAGAGGAAAATGGTAATACCCTAAAAACATGGCTGTGTGATTTTTGCAGCTATGTCACAGAATTCCACCACAATTGTTTAGATTGGCTGAAAGAATCATCCAATAACTTTTATGAAAATGAATAAACTGTCCATATTAAAATACAAAAGTACTATCAAGAATCACTTCTGACTTTCAGATTTAAATTCAGTGCAATTGACAAATGCATTGCTAAACGAAAAATGCAGCTTAAACATACTCAAAACATTTGTGTCTATTCCTGGGAGCACAGTTTAAAATTATTGCACAGATATTTTTTTTTATTTTATTTTTTTTTTTTTATTAAATGACAGAGGTCAGCCACAGTCATGGACCTCCAGCAATAAAAGCAATATTTCAAGTGCCAGACACTCAATATAATAGGTTTCCTACATATTGTAACTCACAGGGTAATTGCTCTAAACATTTGTAGTATGTTCCAAAACCCCAAAAATAGCTGGCACCGAACCACCATGCATGGCTGTCTTTACGGATATGACTTTGTGTTGGTTTTAAATGCTGTGTACGATAGCAGTATAATCCTGGGGTATAATATAAAGAATGTATTGTTGACTTCTCTTTACCGCTGGCAAATTGCTACCCTACCTTAGCCAAACTCAGACTTGCTTCAAGTCGTGTTTATTCCATGGAAATAGCAGAAATCAATGCCTAAAGAACAATGGTTAAAATGTCAAAGCTGCATTATCTCAATTAAATCAATTTATACCTAACTTGGAAGGGAGGGGGGAAAAAAAAAACCAACAAAAAACGTGGGGGGAAAAAAAAAATGGTTAGAGACTGGCAATCATATAGCCACAAAATTATTTGTGATTGAAATAGTGTTATAAAACTGATAACTTTGCAAAGCTCTGTAATATAAACCATTCCTTAAGTAAAATGCCTGTGACATAAATTTGACAACCTCTCTTTTTATAAATTTACACTCTTGGAATCTTATGCAAGACATGATGCAACCTTTTTGACTACACATACGCGTAAACACAACCTCATGCTATCATTTACAAATAAAATCACTATCAGTATACTTTTAATCACATGAGCAGAAAAAGGTTTGCCATATACATCTGTCATTGTAAGAAAAATACTTGATATTGTAAACAGAGTAAAAGACACTATATAGTAGTGATTATTAAAAAAATAGCAGCTTACATCTACCCTATATTTGGAAAAAAATGTAGTCACAAGATACAATAAACTGCAGGACTGGAGCAGCAGGGGAATTAGTGCAAGTATTAATCTTTTAAATAAGCTGAATCACTGCTATTAAAATAAACTTGAAGCAAGTCCTCTGTTTAAGATTTGTTTTAAAATCTAAGGTAGTAAACATTTTGCCTCTTAATGGCAGTGTTATCAAATATATGCCAAAGATTTTATTTTAATAAAGAAAAATTACATGACATACTTTTAATACTGGAGTTTGGTTACAATTATACATCTAAGCTCCTACAAATAATGATGGGCAACTCTCAGAGAAGCTGTGGCATGAACCCTTGTCCAGAAAGATCTTAACCTCTTAAAAATGATCCCCCAGCTATACTTTGCTCCTTTTCACAATAGTGCACAATTTAACCATATTTTAGCTATGGTCTTAAAGTAACAGAAGATGCTTTTTTTTTTTTTCCTCTTTTTTTTTGTAGGTTTTTTTTTTGCATCCCTGTATTTTTCTTTTCTGTATTTTTGTGCCCTTCTGTTCTTAAGTTTGGCAGAATAATGTCCCAAATAAGAAACTACTGCATTTCAGCCATGTCACCAGAAAATAAAACATAGCATTATACCCATTACTGTCATACTTCGTAGATGAGCAGGACGTGAAATATCACGCCTTGAAGAAGGACCTTTTTCTTCTCTCTCCATAATCCCTTTTCCACCCTCCCTCTGTTCACAAAATTGTGCTCTGGGAGCCACAAAATGTACCAAACATTATCAGGTTCAATCTACCTCTTCAAAGAATGCATTAAAATATGTTTCAAAGAAACATTTTTTTCCAAGGTGAAAAAAATATAAACAAGAAACTAATTCACTCCCTTACTTCATGCATCCGTAAACTTAACCAAAACAAAACAGAAAACCCAATGTTTAAAAGCAAAGGAAAAAACTACTGCTGCAGATTTCTGTAAGTCCATTTTCTCTGTACACACAAACTGCTCAACTACTGAGAAGGAAAACAAAAATACCCCACCATCCATTGCCATAATGGATTTAAAGCGGGGAAGGGGTAATGAAGGCTGCCATTAGTATCTTCTGAATTTGGTATGTATATGGGTCTGCTCTTGTATATGGTATATTTCTCTCTCTCTCTCTCGCTCTCTCTCTTCTGTTTTTCATATCCAAAACCTTTAAATGTTATTTTGGGGCACAGCAGATTCCAGCACTTGGTGAACAGGATTCACAAGCTGTGACAAAACTCTGTCATCCTCTTCAGGGTGTAATTTTTGTTGTTTTTTGTTTTTTGTTTTTTTTTTTTCCTCTTTTTTTTTATATACAGTATATGTATATATTTCTTTTACGTTTGGCTGTAGTGGACTGGCCATGGTTCAATTGGGACTATAGCAGTACATGGGTCAGGGACAGTCATTTTGGCTATGTACACATTCATAGTCGGTCCATGGCTTCCAACTAGTAGCGCTATTTCCGTAGGTCTAATACACAAACCTGTAAGAAAAAGAAACAGAGAAATTGCACAACATTCCACATTTATACAATTCTGTGTGAAATACCTGAGCAAAACCTATGAAACTGATTGTGCAAGCTTTATCTTGCATCTCCTAACAATAGGCTGTGGGGAAGGAAATCACCAGGTGAGCGCTTTGGTTAAGAGCTCCCAGCCAGACCTGCTAAGGGTACTACTGGTGATGTTTTGATCATAATTCTTTGAGCAATCTAGTTCTATCAGATATAGAAATCGACTGGTAAAATATAATCATATAAAAGCTATGCTTTTAGACATCAAACAGTTCAAATGTTCCTCTATTTGCTTAGTTATTATAAGCTATATTTTAAACTGAGAGGATGAGGAGGGGTTTCGCTCGCAAACAATATAAAACAAAATAAAACCAACATTTTTGAAAAAGCAAAAACTAAATGAAAACCAATCTGTTGCCTCTTGGGTCAAATTAACTGGAAGACTGGTAAAAAGTGACACAGCATGTATATAAAAGGGTCATCTAGGGTGGAATGGCAATCGATTTCTACTCAAGATATACCTTGAGCTTTTGTTCCTTTTACGATATTGTCTATACTTATAAGACTGAAATTATATGAAAGACCAATCAAAATTAATTCCTTAGAGTTTAGTCTCCTTAAAATTCAGAACTTCCTATTTTCTGTTCTGAAATCTAACAAGATACTGCCTGAGACCTCTGATACAACCAGGATTGCTTTTTGCTGACATTTGTTACTTTAAGCTACAGCACTTCAAAGTACAATTCCTTTATCACGTCTATTTTTTTCTAATTTTGCTTTTCCTTAGGCTCTCTTCTCCTTTCTTTTAAAACCACAGCAAGAGAGGTGGAAGCAAAAAAAAAAAATCCCAACTATTGCACTTGTTATGAAGAACTGCATGTTAATATTTTACTGCAATACTTTGCAGAACAATGTCAGAAGAGCGGGGAGGTGATGCGACAATACACCACTAGGAGATGATAGAGGGTGCATTCATGATTAGTTAAACATATGATTTTATTCCCTGCTTCTTCTAAGCAACGAAAGCAGACTGGTATTTATATATCTGCTGTCATTTTTAAGAACTTTTTAATTACGAGCACTCAGCAATTTGTACTTTGTTTTGCTGCTCTTTCTGTTGAATGCAATGCAGAAGATATTTCGCTCCTATCACACATTATAATAATATCATCTACACTGAACGTTTTCACTCAGAAAGGGCAAAGAGACAAAAATGAACTTGTTCCAGACTATAATGAAAAGATCAGCTGCAATGAACACATTTCCATGGTAAGTTCCACTAGGGACAGAAAATTTAAATTAGAGGTATCTTCACCTTCTGAGATTTTTGGAGGATTTAGAACAGTAATGCATTAAGCTGGAATAAAGACATATTCTCCTTCCAACATTACAGTATCCTTATATGTGAAAATCTACATGTGAGCTGGCTGTATTAAACTTCAGCTACAGAAGGAAGTTTTATCTCCATTGTTAGTCAAGATGTGTGTTGTTGGAATGTCAAACAAGTCAAGCTGCACTTACTGAACCATCTGAAGCACTTGCTCCAACTTTGTCTCCTGCTGCATTCCAGCAAACCTCAAAAATCCCTCCTGTTCCCCGATAACTGTGAACTAGGGCACCTGTCTAAAAAGGGACAAAACATGTAATTAATATAACAAAATCCATGCAAACAAGTAAAATTTGTACAAGTAAAACTTCCCCATTGCTTTTAAAAGTTGAAATGCTCAGAGGAAACAGTCCAGATGAGACTTGTGGACAATCTCAGCACTGTGTTAAAGAATGTGACAAATACAACTATTACATCTTGATCTCTTGTGTTTGACAGGCAAAACTGGGGATGGTCATGACTACTTCCAATTACTAAAATAAGCCTTTCAAAAATTAACACCCAATTCCCCGTAGCCAGAGATCACATCTTATCTAACAACAAGGTCTTTAGACTTTCATTCCCAGTCAGCCCTTTTTTTTGCCAGAAATGCAAAACAAGTAGTGTCCTTTCTTAGGAAGTTATGCAGAAACATTTTGTCGTCACCTTTTCTCACTTTACATTTTCTTGCTTTTCAGTGAATTTCAATGAAACAGCTATCAGATTTGTATGTGTACATTCAGCCATTTTTCACAGCAAATCTCTTTTATCAAGAGTTTAAAGATCAGTTAACACAGAGAATTTTTGGATGCAACATGTTATTAGAGATACTTTGCTGAATAGGTTTTGTTGGTGGTGGTTTTTTGGCTGGTTTTTTTTGGTGGTCATGTTTGTTTGTTTTTCAATGTAAAGACAATGATTACTTCACCATAGGCAAACACTCAAAAGAGAGAAATTGAATCACAGAATCATAAAATGGTTTGGGTTGGAAGGGACCTTAATGATCATCTAGTTCCAACCTCCCTGCCATCAGCAGGGACACCTTCCACTAGACCAGGTTGCTCAAAGCCTCATCCAGCCTGGCCTTAAACACTTCCAGGGAGGGGGCATCTACAACTTCCCTGGGCAACCTGTTCCAGTGTCTGACCACCCTCACAGTGAAGAACTTCTTCCTAATATCTCATCTAAACCTCCCCTCTTTCAGCTTAAACCCATTTCCCCTTGTTTTGTCATTAACTGCCCTTATGAAAAGTCCTTCCTCAGCTTTCTTGTAGCCCCTTCAGGTATTGGAAGGCCGCTATAAGAATGTACACTCATTAACAGAAGCAACCTTAGAACAAAGAGAAAGTGAATCAATGTGTTAGCAAAGGCAAATGTCTTTGCAGCCAAAACAGAATAGAGCAAAGGTTGGAAGGGTGCTGATGGGAAAGACCAAAACACAAACTTCTAAACAGACAGAAGAGCTCTACCTGTGTATTCCAGATGTGTACACATTTATCAAAGGAGCCACTGGCCAGGTACCTGCCATCAGGACTGAAAGCTACACTGTACACAGGTTCTTGATGTTTTGTCAAAGTATGAATACAAATTCCTCTGTCTACATCCCATAACCTAACAGTAGAATCAAAGGATGCACTGCAAAGGGAAAAAAAAAAACAGATTAATTACATCTCAATTTGACATACTGTGTTTCTAATATAAACATAATGTGATAAAGTATCCTACACGCTTCAAAACATTCTGTGAACCTACATATATAAAGAGCGAAGTAAAAATAATGCCTAACAGACATTTAAAACCAGGATTAAATAGTACCTTGCTAACATAAGATTGGCATTTGGATTATTTGTTCCTGGTCCTGTAGGACTCCATTTGATAGTATAAATTTCTTTGTTGTGTGCTTGTAAGTCATGGACACAACTGTCTTGTTTCATACTCCAGATCTATGATAAAAATGAAAGAAAACACAAGGACATTTTAGCACAACATTGTACTAAAACACATTTTCCATCTTTCTTCTTTATCATTTGCAGCCTGACTGCCACCTTTTATGCCACTCAAAACATTTGCTATGACTGCTGAGTTTCTAGAATAATTATGACAAGTATTATACCAATACCCTCCATTCTTTGAGTACCTGAGGAGGCTAATGAGTAATAAAGATACTGTCTATAGAAACCAATCTGCGTGTGCTAACTACAAGACCCTTGCAAAGTGCAGGGATGATAACAGATGCTGAAATGAGAAGAGCAATATGTATATGTTCGTGTCTGAGTTAACAAAATATCACAGTCCTATTTTTAAATGAACTTCTTGCTATACAGATTGAGTGAAATAAAGGGATGGTAGAGAAATTCTCTGTTTTCATAAAGCCACAGCTGCATACTGCAAAAACCATTATGGCATTTTCCTGGCTTATGAGGATTTGCATTGCCAGGTGTTTGCTCAGGACTTCATACAAAGTTCCTTAGGACTCCAACTCCTGCATGAGAACCTTCAAACAAAACAACTTTATTAAGAGTTTACATTGCATACAGAATAGGTTTTGGAAGGCTTTTATACCTTTTCCTAAATGTCAACATTGATATAGAATTAATAATCTCAATGCTTTTTTTAATAATATCTGGTTTAGTAGTGCTATTAGCTCACCTTTTGTTGGAGAAAGCTAACAGGAGCATGTTAAGCCCAACTGTACTTAAGATGTAATTGGGTTGTACGTTTAAACAAATGTTGCTTTTCAGAACTGGTGCCTCACTGAAGGGAAAATTGATTTTCAATTGCCAGACTGAATTAAAATTGTATTTGCAGTTTAAATTGACAGGATCAAATCAGAGCCAAACTTTGGTCCAGAGAACTTGTTACAGGCTGCTCCAGTTGTTAGGATTGCCTAATGTTGTTATATTAAAAAGGAATAAATATTAGATGACACAGCAAGTACAGTGATACTGCTGGATTGCCCAAGCTAATGGTGCACACTAGAGAGTCCCACAAAGACAAGAGCCAGGACCAGAACTCCCGTTACCTTTAGAGTCATATCATCAGAGCAGGATGCCAGAAGATTACCAGTTGGATCCCATTTGATTGCATTTACTTCATTCTAAAATTGAACAGTGAGAATAAGTTGCAGTCTTCATTTCCACTACAAATGACAGCTTACGAAAGATAAAGTTGGACAGCAGTTATGAGTATTTGGGTAATTGTCAGTATTTTAACATTTAACTTTCATTCCTAGCTTTGTCTTCAACAACAACAACTTTTTGCTACCTGTTCATCACATTTTCCCATGTGTGCTCTTACACAACATAGGCTATTCATAGCAAAATAAGTCTTAAAGCCACGACGTTTTTTCTTCTAAAGCTTATTTTTGCTATGCCATCCTGGCACTGCTATAAAAAAGCTGCACAGGGGGGTGAGAATTGTTCCAGTACTGATAGAGACTGCAGTTACTATGTGACCTTTACTACAACTACCTGCGTATGCACATCTATTGTCTGCTGCCAAAGACCAATAATTATGCAAGTGCTGTATATTGACAAGTATATTGGGCCCCCAGCCTCTCACTAATAAAAATATCACATAGCAACCCCCAATTTCCAGTACTTACTGTGTGACCCTGAAAGGTTTTGATGGGCCTATCTTGTCCTAGTTTACAAACGTGAATACACATATCTGTACTGCAAGAGGCAAATGTGTTGTTACTCTGCCAGTCAACATCTAATGCTGGTGCTAAAAGAAAAAGAAAGATATTTAAAACTATGGTATGTATTCTGCAGGAGTTCCATTTGCAAATTCAGCATGCACCACCTTAGAACAAACACCAACAGGAAGCAACCATTAATTTTACAGCAGTTCTAAAGATAATCAAACACTATCAACAGTGAGAAATGCAGCCAAAATCAGTCTTACATGAAGAAACAAAATAAAATTTAATAGAATTTATTAAAAGATGGAACATATCTGAAATGAAACAGTTACTCAGAAGGCAGTGCAGCAGGACAACAAGCCGCAGTTAAGTCATCTAAACATAAATCTCAAGAGTCAGCATGAGGAACAGGTTCCCACAACTTAACACACCATCATGCATGAGTTCATCTCCACTAACAGTCCACGCTTGTGCTCGTAGATGGCAGCCACTGAAAGGTAATGATTTATTTTCTTCCTTAATTTCAGCATTGTAAGGTACGGTAACTTGAAGCCTAACCATGGGTGACATACTCCATTTGGTCAGGCTCAGATATTTATGGCAGATAGCACACAGCATTGCTTGGAATAAATCAAGAATTGATGTTTTTGATTGTTGTCATGCCACTGAAAACGTAGTGTGAGTGGAATAAAAAGTGGAAACAACACATTTCTTAAAGGCCCTTCAATGACATGTTCGTCATCCTCTCTATTCTATTTTCCAGCTGATTCTGGCAGGCTTGCACAGCATGCAGCCTACAAAGCAATTTGTCTGACCTCCTGAGAGGCTGCGCTCTCCTCCCAGCTGGCCAGTGAACAGCCTTTCAGCTGGTCTGTGGCCAAACAAATTGGGGACAGCACAGCAGGCAGAGCAGAACAATGGGACACGGAGCTGGGATTACTGTAGCAGGAAGATGACAAATGCAGTCCTTAGCTGATAAACACAAATCCTTCGTGGCCCACCCACTTGATTTGTCTGACACCGTACTACAGAAAGTCTGTAATATTTGGATTATCTTTCATAACTTTCATAGAACTACGATGAAATCGTGAGTTATAAAGTTATAAAATCAGAACAATTCTGTCTTTGTTTATATTCTCAAAATTCATTAGACTATGAATATGGAAGTCAGTATCCAACGACTGCCTGTAAGACTTTAAAATGATGTAAATAAGCCATAACTTCCATCAACTTCAGATTATTATTTTTTTTTTAAATAAATAACTTTTTTTTTGTCTTTTCTGATGACAATCCTGAATGATCAGAATCAAGACTCACCAGAATGAAAAGGAAACTGCTGCTTGGCTTCACCAGTGTGGGCATCCCAAATAATTGTGGTCTGTATTAAACATATAAATAAACAATAAACAAACTTGTACAAATTGCTAATTTCCCCACAACTACCACCATCCACATGTATCACACTACCTAGCCTACTCCCCATTGCCCAAACCTGCTTCCAATTATATTAATTTCTAGCATTTTACCCAATATTGAAGGAAATTGTAGTAGATATACAGACAATAGAGAACACTAACATGTTGTAATATTACAAAAGTGTTTAGTACAACATCTTGGGGTCTGGAAGGAAAGAGGAGGTTGTGGGCTTTTCTTTTTTATAAACAAATATTAAATAGATTTATCTCCATAGTCCTGTTTATATATTTGTAATCTACTCCACACATCTATTTTAACTTCAAATATTGTACTTTCAAATTGTAATTTCAACTAGTCAGTCGTCCCTAAGGAGATCTTCATATAAACAATTAGTCTCATACCTAAGAATCTGAAAGATTTGATTTAAGGGTGTAATTTTGTTCTGAGTTCTTCTCTGCCAATACTTCTGATATCTTTCTGATGAAAGAAATCTTACATGACAAACTAAGTATTTTATAATCACTATATTCTATGCCAACATTCCTGACCTATCTCAATGATCAATGAAAATTCTGACACTGCATTCAGTAGAAGCATGAACTGACCACACAAATTATTTATGGAGAAGAAGCATAAGGTTGAATCAATCTCTCTGCTAATGCAGAATATTTTTCAAAGCATAATCTCAGTTGCTTTGTCCAAAGAGTTTTATAGACTGAAACGATGAAGCTTCTATCTCCTCCAGCATATAAGATTTGAAAACTGGCATAAGCCATTACAGCTGCCAAGAGAAGAAACCCACCCTTTCCGTGCTTTGAGATAGTTACTTTCGCTTCCTTTGTGCCAGCACAAGCTTTTATAAAGCTGGGCACTAAAGCAAACCAGGTTAAATGTGCACAGGAAAAAAATAATAAATAAAGAAGAAAATCTATTACTTTACAATGACAATGTCAGTTTTAAGATTGTGGACCCCATGGTCTTACTGAGCTTGCAGTTTGCCAGTCTCACTAAGAGAAAGCCTGTGTTTGTTTCTGCACCTTGAATCAGTAACAGAAGAGAAACTGAACTCTTCTCCTTGAATTCATCTTAAGCCTGTTCTTCATCACTATGTGCCCTTCCTACCATTCCTAAAATCTCTCACACTAAAAACAGTTATTAATTTAAAACCTTGTGAATCTTTAAGTTTGTTCAGAGACATTAAATAAAACACAGTTAAACAATGAGCTTTATGGCATTACACTACTGGCACCTCCCCAGTCAGATATATTGACTTTTCTTGTGTTCCAGCTCTAACATTTTTAATCATTCTCAGGCTTGACTGATATCCCAATCAGGCTGAACCTATTCCTCCAGCACAATTTTTTTCTGAGGCTTTGCATAAAGTGCTTCACTAAATTTTAGATGATTTGGTTTTACAAAGGTTTAATGTTCCTGCGTTCAATGCACCTACTTTCCAATTTACACCAGCCTAAATGGGAAGAGATCCAGGGACACTTGAAATCTAGTAAATTAAAACATCTCAATAAACTACTATAAAACACAAGGAAACATACCTAGCATAACAAGTTATTTCTAAGTACATATTTATGTCCCATGCCTTTACTTTAATTTACTTTCTATAGCTCTGCTATTCCGCTTACAATTAGATTATAACGGTGAAGGAAAGAATTTTAATTTTACCAAAGATTATCTCACCTTGTCCACTCCTGCACTTAAAATGAAGTTTCCTTTCTTGTTCCATTTTAACGCAAATATAGGACCTTTATGTTGCCCTAAGGTGCTGGCAAGATTACCTGAAAATTTATATTGATACGAATACATTAAAAAAATAAAAAACTATGCTGTGAGCCACAATACAGGAAAATATACTGGAAATTAAAAGTATTTCACTTACCATCTTTAGTCCATATCCTTGCAAAGCCATCGTAAGACCCAGTTGCTAGAAGTGTACCTTCACTCTGACAGCAAAAAGGTTATTTTATTTTTATCATATAACTCAAAGCTAAAGAGCACAAAGCATGTATCTGCATAAGATTTATGATATTTATTCCACCGAGTACAATTTATTAAAAAGAAGTCCCCGAAGTAAAAGACATTACAATGCAACTCCAAAATAGAAATATTTCAGGAGCTGTAGCAGAGGATGCACAGTTGCTGTCACTTAAAATTTGACTATGCAAAATAACAGTCCAATTTTCTCAGCCAATTTTGAGCACTGCCATTTCTACTTACGTTCCAATCCAGCGATGTCACGTCTTTGTTGCTGGGTACATCCTGTCCTCCTTCTCGTATACAGTGTCGAAGTACCAGCTGCGTAGAGCCGCTTGTGCTGTTTTCACTGAGGTTCCATATCCGTGCTGTCGAATCTCCAGATCTACAGAACAGTTAATGAGAATATCAGCCCTTCTCTCAACTAATACCATTTGAAAAGGTATTACTTTCAGGACAGCAAACGTTGTGATATTTGATGTAGAGGGCATTGGGGTAGGTATTATTTTAACTTGGTACCATCAATGTACACAACACGCCAACGAACATTGATATTACGTACATCCATGTCGTACACACGTGGTTAACTCACGTACCCTGAAGCCAAAAGGTCACTAACGGGATTCCAGGCACAGATGAATACTTCAGATTCATGGCCACGCAGCACCACTGCCTTGTTGGGAGGGATTTCAACATCTCCATCTACTTCCATCATGTCTGTGTGATTATCTGCATTATGGGAAACAACAGTAGAAAGAGGTGGATTTTAATATTTTGGGACAATACACTGTAACTACTGTATGATCAATATTCTTCTGGAATGAGCATAACAATGAATTCACCAAAATCTGACAAAGTTGTAATGTTCCTTTATTTTTCGAGTTCCAGTTTATGAAGTACCGTAAACAGATGAGGAGCTTCAAAAATGTGAGAAAGTTCTTAGCCCTTATAAACCTCAGCATTCAAATGGACTTAAACATGAAACTTCAAAATTGAGGCCAAAAGTTATTTTTTTGCTATTTTAAAAAATTAAACACTGACGTACTCACAGTTTTTCAGGCATGACACTACATTTTACAATATGTTACTATTAATCTCGTGCTTTAAAAATACATTTATGACACATTCGTTTTCAAAAAGCTCTCTTTTCAAAGTTAGCAAACATTTTAAATTTACATCTCAGACAACTCATTTACAAAATGTCTTTAATTAATATAGTAACATTTGGTAAAGTGATAACAGAGGTTTTTAAACTACGTCGGCAATTACTGTGGAATTGTGGCAACACATAGCTTTTTCTGTGGAAGTGATGTTGAATCCATATTATTCTGTAAAACATACTGGGGGAAATTCAATTGACAACTGTTTTCTTGCCAGTTACCATCAATAATTTTCTAATTTCTAAAAAATAAATTCACATTGAGTGTAAATGCAGAATATAAAAAATGTCGAACAGTTCACCTGCTCCATATTTATTCACTGTGCTTCAACAAACTGTTTCACATCTATTGCTGAATTTAACATTAAGGGTTTCTGTCGCTGTTTGTATGTGTGAGAAAACAGAAAAGGCTATTAGAACATGCAGATTTTTAAGGAAGAACACCATATAAAACATTACTTCAATTAAAGAGAATCAATGCCAGTATAATTTGGTGTACCAGCCAGTAGGGGTTGCTGGTATATCACATTTAAGAGTGGCTGAGAGCTGAAGTTTACACTTCCTCTATCCAGCTCACAGTTAACAACTAAATATTCTTGTGAGATTTTTAAAGTAGGGAGCTTATTTGCTTAAGCCAAAGATTATATTTCCAAGTTTATTTAATATATATTAAAATGAAAAAAACAAACAAACAAACCAAAAAACCTCCTAGTAAAATCCAGCTGTAAAATGTAAAACTTGCAGATGGCTCGATAGGAATATTCTCTCAAAAATACTATTTATTCAGGTGCTTTTAACAGCACAAGCTTTAACTCCCCTTCTCAAAGGTGTGATTCAGACTTTTAGAACAGTATTTTCAAAATCACATTTTAATTCCTGACCTGAACTTTTCTATACTAAGCCTGATTGTAAGGTATGCTCCTTTGACCGGTGATGACAAATAAAACTCACTTGTCTCACCAATCACAATTAAAATGAAACCAATGAATAAACCAAACTTGCAAGCAGTTGCCTCAAATAATCCTGAACAGCACATTGTGAAAATTGATACTGACAAAAGAGACAAGTGACACAGGATTTGTCTCAGCGACCATGATGATCTCAGCATGACAAGGAAGTCTGTCCTACAGAGAACTGGTTACAGCTCTCCGATTCACAGAGTTACCAGAATTTGTCAGAAGTAGCCTGTGCAGCACCACAAGCAATGCTCAGTTTTAACCAGTTGCACATTAGCAGATTCCTCTCCTTATTCCTTGTACAGGGACCAAAGTGGAAGAGATGCTGGTGAACCTATAGAATTGTCTCTGATTTTATTTTTTTATCCTCTTTATGCAAGGGCTCTCGGAGGGTCCTGTGAAAAACCTTCAGATGACGGGAAAGGAGCAGTACTGGAAGTGAGACTGGTCAATAGAACACTGTGAATTAATGAATTCAGAAGTTTGCTCATCTCCTCCTGCAATTCCAAGTATCAAAGTGGGGACAGTCAAAGGTGAGACACCATCTGTTCGCCTGACAAAGGTATTTTCTGCAAGCTGAAGGGTTACCAGGACTTCTGCACATTTACCTCCTTGCCTCCTAGCTCATACTACAACAAACAAGGGAATTCCATTAACACGGGTTAAGGTCATTTCTGTCTCAACTTACTTGCTATAGTGTGTGCTCCGTTCTCTTCTCCATTTGCAGTATTTTCTCCATTTTTCGCTGATCCCTGTTGGTTGGTCGCGGCTGCGGCTGCAGCAGCTGCTGCCTGCTGTTGTGCAAGTTTATCTCTGTAGGCCTGTTGTCTTGTCTGTACCACATCAGGCATTACTGCATCTATCAGTGAGAGAGACTCTATCGGCCTACCATCAAACAAGGTACCATCCTAAATTACAGCAGAAGGGAAAAAAAACACAAAAAAAAGACAACAGCAAGTACAAATTAACATTATGGGAAAAAATTCCAAGGAAAACTAAAGCAAAGTTTTGTTTTAATATAATAAAACAGTTTACAAATGGTACTGGAAGTAATATCACGTCATTCTTGTGGCTGGGATTGGAATTTTAGTCTAAAGTTAAGTGGCTGTCATAACTATACAAAAAAAGCCACCACAGGCCTCTGGCAGAACTTCTGCAATCAAAAGTTACGTGCTTTGAGTTTGCTAAATCATCTGCTAAAGTAAAAAAATTCTGTGAGCTATCTATGAATATGATTTCAAACATGAGTGGCTGCAACAAAATCTAATGGTTTGTTTGAAGAGCTGCAAACATTGCAAGTCGGGTCACTGGCTCGTGAAGTTATTCTATCTTATTAAGACTAATACTTTCCATAAACATATTATCTGGAGAGTTGACTAGTTTTCTTCCTTTTTTTAAACAGCACTGGCATGCTTTCAAACAAGAAGGAAGGATTTTATCCTGAAATGGACAAGACTCAGTTAAAAATACCCGTATACATATGCTAGGGCTTTGTAAGGATCTATTTTTAGGAGCTAGAAGGATTCTTTGCGATAAATATAGGGTCTCCTTCTTCTATTCCAATCACTTGCTTTATTTTTCTGAGGCTTCCTAAGGGAAAGGATTGGCCTCACTGAGGCTATGAAAACTCCACGTAAACAGAAGACTTAAGGGAGACTGGAAAGAGAGCAGAATTAGTGAAAAAACTGTTTCCTTCTGCAATATACAGGTGACACATACAAAGGCTGCTAATCTTCCAGGCATAAATGAGAATGGAAATTGAGGGTATCTACAGCATCAGGCAGGAAGATACATGGCTTTCTGTACTGCTGGAATAACCATTTAAACATCAAATTTAATAGTTCCTGCTCAAGATGAATTAGCCAGCAGAGTCAGAAAGCAAACTGGCATATACCTTCATCCTTCCTGCCACAAATTGAAACCCTCTCTCTATTTGGAAACCTTGCCCTTGGGCTCTCATCGCGTCATTATAACGACACATCATCCAAATGAGAGCTGCATAGTGCTCTCCCACCTCCACAGTGCAAAAATTAAGTCTCCAAAAAACAAAAATTAAGACGTTACTTGTCTCAATAATCATTTTATTGTACTTGTCTGGATTTACTACAACATTATATTAGGGTAAAAACTCTACAGACAACGGACCTTTAAGCAATGAGCCAGAACACCATGCCTGGTGTTGTGTGGCTGCACTGGGCAGAACCCCTACCCAGTTATGTCACTCCATTCTGGTTCCACCACTGGAGTCATGGTGAACACCAGCAGTAAGGAATCTGAAGTAAAAGTAAATAAATAGGATACAAGAAAGTTAAGAAAAAATACTAACATTCAAACTTACTGCAAAAGCAAGGACATGATGTTCCTGCAGGCAAAGCCTCCTTACCTCATTAATACTGACTTCTGCCTCTACATACTGCAGACCTTTCTGGATGATGGAAATCAAAGCAGCTGGTGGCACCAGAGCACCATTTATATTAGACTGGCTGATATGGCTCTCTATACCAAAGGTAAATGCTGAATGGGAAAACCCTAAAGACAAGGCAGAAAACATCAGAATTTATTTACAGATAGACAATGCTACTTGCCATACTGTCTTAGGATCTTCTCTTTACAAATCTAAGCAAGTTATACAAAGTTATAGCATGCTTATGAACTACAAAAACCTCATCAAAGCACCTCTGTTGTTTCCCTCTTACATGTTTCTATTTTAAACGCACAAAAAGACAAAAACTAAACTTATATATAAACACAGCAATTATTAATTATGGTATCATTGGCAAAACATTTGTGCATGAGTAAATATAAAAATATAAACTATGCAATATGTGAGAGTATTTAAATATGTTTATATATGCCAAAGTGCTACATATATAGTATCCTATATAGGATTTAATAAAATACATCTCCAAGACACCAAGACTCACTTTGTATTTTTACTCAGTGATTTGTTACCCATGAAAGTGAAATGGATCTGTATAGTGAACAAAATTCACTTCATAGTACAGTGCTGTTGTCATTGCGTATGCTTTGGCACTCAGGACTTCATCAGTATTAAGCACTGATTAAGAAGGGGTGAGCATGTGATGGTTGCAGCACTGGTAGTTGTTTGCTATTTATCTGATCACCCTGAAAAGGTGGATTTAACACTGAGAAAAATTGTTGCTTCAGCAAATTAACTTTACCATCACAGAATTTTTTCTTAAACTACTGGCTTCTCTGCCGCCCCTCTCCCCCTTCTCTTCTGTCAGGTAGCTAGGAAGCTGCCCACAAACTTTCAGATGAAGATAAAGCAATGTTATAAGTTTGACTTTTGTGACAAAAAGCAATCTGCAACTGGAATAAGAACATATAATAGTTTTCAGTAAATTCAGGTGGAAAATGAGTTTCTGCTTTCTTCGGACAAGCAGAGACTGAAAAACTCTGGTATTCACCATTGCTTCTGGTGCTTCTTTGTCTCAATTTGAGAAGTCCATGAGCAGTGGACGTAAGCAGTAGACATATGCTGCATAAGTCAAATGCATTTTCAAGAAGCCTGAAGTTTGTTTTCAAATTTGAGAACATTCATCCATCTTTTGCTCTTCCTTCTAAGAAGCAGGTGGCTTTGGCTAGCCCAACACCGAAGGACAAAATCCTCCAAAAATCCTGTGTCCTGCAGGGATGGAGGTTTTGGAGAACCCAAGAGTCATTCCTCTCAAAAATCTGTTCATCTGTACTTAGATTCAAATGATACGACTTGTATGGTCACAGTTACCACTTCTTCCTTTGAAACACAGCGACATCTGCTCTCCCACAGTCACATTCAGGCAAGGAATTTGTCCAAGAAAGACCAGCTTAAAGGAGAATCATCACTCCAAGACAGAACAGGAAAAAACAGTGTTATGGTGGTCATCCTTCTTCAAGTAGCCCCAAAGAAAACACTGCAAAGGATCATTGCCACCCTGTAGATAAAAGTGATCTCCAGGGAAATGCATTTCTAGTAATCAAGTGAGTCCTTAGCTGGTTGACTGCCATCTGAAATCTCCAAGTGACCAAATCTGATTAAGTTACAGAAGGTAACTTGGCAGGAATTCATTCTCTTGTTGAGAAGAAACACCAAGAAACAGTTCAGACAGAAGCACACGCCTACTGGCAAAATAATTAAATGAGTTTGCATTTGCTAAAGGCAGTTGTAGATGAATACCAAATAAATTATGCATTGTTTAACAACCAGAATTGTAAAAACTCACCTGACTCTTGCAAGTATCTATATACCAGGAAGTTAACCTCATCACTGCTTATACTCATCTTTATTCCCAGTTAAACCATGAGGTCACAACAAAGGACACAACCCTGAAAATAAAAAAGTAGGTCAATTAAATATTTTTAGTATTTAATATGTATTTCTCAACAAATGCTATATTTATAAAGTAAAGAGCTCCCTGGCAGTATAGACAATGGTTTCATTTTATAATGCAAATAAGTCTACTGGAGTCATTAAAAAGTCATTTGTCTCACCACAACATAAAGGTCAGTAAATTAAATATTGACGGGACAGATTCTCAAATGATGCAAATTGGTATGGACTGGGGAACTATGCTGCTTAATACCAGTATTAAAAAAGCCTCATTTCACAATTTTTTAAGAAAATAATCAAGCTAGTTTCATCTAATCAACATTTATTTTTCAAAATTTGTATCTCTCTCTCCCTGGCTAACAAAGACCAACACCTTGGTTTCATGTTGGTATCCAGACAAGTTCTCACTTTTACCTTCTCATCTACTTCAATTTTCAGGTACTTGTGCTCTAGTAAAAAGGTGCAATATGGGCTACAACACCATATCCCTTCAAAGAAAGCCCAGCTATTTCCACTAAAAATCAGAAAACACCTCAGCCATACACTTATGCTTTGCCAAAGGAATTCCTGAATTTAGAAAGAAACTTTAAATAGAGCATTTTTAGTAACATTTCTCTAGACTTTCAATCAATGCTTTAAAAACATTGATGGATATATATACACACGGTTTCCCCTTGATTTTATTAATAGCAAACATTTAGCAAGATAAATAATGTATTAGACTATATATACTTTTGATGACAAATTGTGTTTTAAAGACTACCATTGATTCATATTTTCAAAAAGATGAAGACACGGTATTTTTTCTATCTTCGAGCCTCATTTTTGAGACTATTCTCATGATTCCTGAATATTTGAACACAAGTACACAAATCAAAACATCAGCTTCTAGAAGACAGTATGAAATAAGGTCCATCTCCTGTTCCTAGTACCAAGTCAGCACTTTTCATCAGCAGACCTTCAAGATTTTTACCTAGTTGCCTACCACCAGCGTTTTCTTCTATGGAACTGGAGTCATAGAATCATAGAATGGTTTGGGTTGGAAGGGACCTTAAAGATCATCCAGTTCCAACCCCCCTGCCATCAGCAGGGACACCTTCCACTAGACCAGGTTGCTCAAAGCCTCATCCAACCTGGCCTTGAACACTTCCAGGGAGGAGCAGCCACAGCTTCTCTGGGCAACCTGGGCCAGTGTCTGACCAACCTCACAGGAGAGAATTTCTTCCTAATACCTCATCTAAACCTCCACTCTTCCAGTTTAAAGTCATTTCCCCTTGTTCTATCACTACCTGCCCTTGTCAAAAGTCTCTCCCCAGCTTTCTTATAGCCCCTTCAGGTACTGGAAGGCCGCAATAAGGTCTCCCTAGAGCCTTCTCTTCTCCAGGCTGAACAGCCCCAACAATCTCAGTCTGTCCTTGTAGGACAGGTGCTCCAGCCCTTGGATCATCCTCATGGCCCTTGAGTCTGAGAAGGTAAGTGACTTTCCTACTGTTATTTAACAAATTTTGACCTGGATTCAACATAAAAAAAAGGACTAGAGAACAGGTTTTCTTGTGTTGTTCAACATAGAAAGTTCTTGCTGTTAATGATCAGCTCCGTGGTTGCACGTCAGGCCATTCACCACTGTGGTTCGAAGTGGGAAAGTGGTGAAGGCAGCAGTAAGCAACAACTCGAAGATTATGATCGGCATTATAGAGCTGACAGACAGTCAAAGGCTTTACATATTCTTTCTGAGCATCTTTTCCTAGCGGGATTTCCCAAGGAAATAGGGCAAAATGACCATGCTCTCCTATCAGCTAACTTTTGAATTTTACCAATCAATTGCAACCAAATTTGAGAGCAGGAAGAGCTCTCCAAGATGTGACTTTTCTACAAGTCCCGTAGCGTTGTAGAGGGAAGACCCAAGAGCTTCTCAAGGAGAGGCTGCAGGAAGAAACCAGACATCAAAAGGAGCATGTTTGCCCAAAACCACAGACAAACCTTGGTGAGTTGATGAGCATATGGACACCCCCAAACCCTCCCCAGCCATGCAGCTGCCCACCCAGCTGATAGCCCCAGGGGTAGGAGGGTGGGCAGATGCCCTCCACGCTTCATCTGGAGACAGCACAGGAAAAATGACACAATCTGAGAGCTGTGCAGCTCAGATCCAGCTGTGACCAGTGGAACAGAGTGGGAGAGTCAGGGTTACCCCTGTGTGGAAAATGAGGGGCTGCACACGATGCTGGACACATCTACAGAAACCCAGATCTCATGCTTATAGACCAGCCTGAGCATACTGTGCTGCTAAATGGGGGAAGATGGTTTTAGTTTCTTAAGGAAATTACAACACAGAGCTACTTAAATCCTTCTCATTTCTAAAGGAAAAAATAATTGCTCCAGGATAAGAACTTAGCCAATGCAACACAACCTGCAAAGGTTCCCTGATACTAACCCTACCCCAGCTCCATCCACAGCCCCCAGTGACGCCTGATGTACAAGGCAGACCAGCCAAATCACAATATACTTTGAGGGCTTGTTTATTTAGCAGTGTGGGAAATGAATGCTATTTTTAACCATTTCATGCATTAGCAACCAATTCTACCATGTGCAGGATCAAACACTAATTTTATTCAGCTATGTTTTCCTGTCATACCTGGCGTAAATCATCTTTATTCCAGACTGCTTGTTACAGAGAAGTTCTGTAGGAAAAGGAACAATATTCTCCTTAACAACAACAACATTCTCCTTTAAAATTACATTTTAAAAGACTGTAAAGAAGCCTTTTTTAATTACACACACAAATGATAGTATTTTATTCATTAATTTGTTGCCAATTTTTAAGATCTTGCTGCATCAACCAAACAGACGGATCAAAATTCCGAAATCAGATGAAAGTGCTGTTTGCATTATTAATACAAAGAGGGCTGGCCACTCAAAGCAGAATTGTGGAGATGTCACATAGATTCACCTGTTATGTAGCTGGACAGCTAAAGAAAAAAAGCTAACATTCTGTTTGTCTGTCAAAAGTGTTATTTACCCTGCCCATGGCGAATGAGTGTCATTTTTCAAGGCTGGCTCAAAGTGTTTTCCACAAGATGCTTTGGTAAGGCAGGGAGTACTGCCTCACGCTGTCCTGCCTGGCTATCAAGAGGTGGCACTGCAACACCAGCTTCTGTACCCCAACAGCCAGAAAAACACAGAAATGTCTTCAATAAATACACAGGCTGCCTGATGAGGACATCAAACTGAAAAGGGTGCAAAAGTTTCCAGGTTTTTACGTAGATACTGCTTTATGTATTTTTTTTTTTTTGGTGCTAATTAAATTTTCTAAAAAACTCGTTCCTGTATTTACCCCCCATCACAGAGCCCAGCAAGCATCTTGGGAACAACCATCACCCAAAGAAAGTGAGGAACTGGGAGAAGAACAAGCAACACCAAACCACCCTCCTTCCCGTCCCAAATACAAACCAATTAAAGAGAAAATACAGCAGAATTACAGAGAGGAGAGGATACAATAATTCTTTCCCTTTGAGAAATTTTAAATCAATACTTGGCTTGTCTCTGGCTGCCAGGCTTCTGTTGCCCACCCTCAAAACTAGGGGCAAACCCACCCCTCAGCAAAGAGCTCTGAAGCGTGGCCACCTCCAGCCTCGGGAGCTGACCCTGAGGACAGCTAACGCAGCAGCTCGGAGCTGTGTGAACCCCACTGCATGTGATGCAAGTGAGGGGATGGTGGAGAAAAGGAGCAGAGGTGGGACGGAGAAGGGAACCCCTGATCCCAAAGCCACAGGCCATGTTGCTCTCAGTGCCCAACACGCATGGTCGCCCCCTCGCTTCATGCTGAAGTTACAACTTGCCAAGGATGTCAGCCAAAGAAAAACAGTCTTGGAGAATAAAATAAACCTGCTAACCTACGAACCACGGCAACTGCATTTCCCTAACACCCCAAACAAGGTCCCAGGGCTTGTTTGGGAGGTGTTGGGGAAGATTTCTTAAAAATGGTGTCATGTAAATTGAAATGGAAACATGAAGAGAGGAGGAAAGTCTGAAAAGAAGAAAATTAGAGGAGGAAAAAATAAATAGATCTTTCTGTATGTACCCATGCACATGCACACATACCCCACACACTAGCAGATCTACCTAATGCTAGTTTATTTGCCCCAGATCTGCTATGTCCATGTGCAAGCGACTGCTTATGTTAGGCACTTAATATCCTATTAATATTGTTCTTTATTTTAGATAAAGCAATTAAATAACAGAAAAGACTCAAATAAATGATCCAAAAATAACTATGAAACGTAATTCTTACCAGTCTTAAGATTTCTAGCCTAATTTGCAAAGGGACCATTAAAAATATTTCAAGATATTTGTACTTGTATGTCTCAAATCCATTCTGAATATGTGACAAGATCCTTGAGGCCCTTTTTTCTGGCCCTTATAAAAATTCAAAGTCTTCCTCAAAACATTCTGTGGATTTACAGGAAATACAGCTAAGTACGGTGCACCCACACTACTGTTTTAGTGCCAAGTGTGCTTTTAAAGGAACTCTCCTGCCTGCCCCTACATTTGCTTTACATTTTGAAGCTGTTGTTGTGCATGTGAGGTAGATTCTTTACAGGTAGAACTAGGATTTAAAAAAACCCAACCAAACAAAACAAAAACAACAAAAAAAACCAACCCCAAAAACCAAACAAACCAAAAAACCAACAGGTAAAAAAGAAATCCAACAGGTAAAAAAGGATACGCGTGAGGGCTTACTGACCATGCCCGAACTGCTCATGCGCTTCCAGTCCCTGGGACCACACCAGGATCGATACCCACTGCTTAAAACCAAGCCCACATCAGCACGCCTCTTTCTCTGGCTCTTTAAGCCCACACACGTCCACGAGATGCTTGGCAATGTCGTAGTGCCCACAAAATTGTATTACAGTGGAGGTAACCCCCTCACCCTGCCCTGCCCCGATCATCCAAA